TATTGCAAGCCCAAAGAGATCAAAGAGGTAGTTTTCTTACCATTGTTGGTTAATAATTTTTTGCTAAATTTCTTCAAGGTTACGCCCAGGCTTGTGAAACACTATAACTGACCCTTCTTTAACACAGCGTTAGAATCATACTAGAATTCAGCTAGCAGTGTTTCTAAATCTTGACGGCATAGAACTGTGACCGGCGAACTTTTCGCATTCCCACGCTCCGACCAATCTGAGGGTACGGCATCAAGAGCTTGGTCTAGGACTACTCGAAGACCGTTCTTCAAACCGCCTCAATTTGATGCTCTCACCTGCTCTATCGCTTGAACAGCGGCTTACCACTACTGTGATATTTTGTCATACTGTAATTGACACATTGAAACTTTTGTCATATTGTAATTGGCTCACCACCTCGGAGTCACTACCTCCTCCAGGGCTTAGTCTTAGTGCTCTCACCTTCCTCTATCAGATTTGGAGCCGAGCCAATCATCAACTCCCGCATTCTCTAATCTGTCTGTGCTCTAGCCATTTGCACTAGGACCATTGAGAAAAGTCCAAGTAGTCCGTAAACCCTGAGCTTTACATGGGAAAAGATTTCTGGAAGAAGTGGACCATGCAGCTTGCCCAGTTGATCTTCCTAAGAGCTCGCTCTTTTTCGTTATTTAGAAGAGGAACGATTTCGGGCAGCATTTCGACTAGTAACACAGAGCAAAGGCCTAGGCACTGATGAATTTGCTGATGACGTCTGAAACATCAAACAGATAATCAATCAATCACTTCTATGACTCGAAAATAAAACGAGAGCATAGCGCATTCCTAAGAAATATGAGCGTCAGGCGTGATGGTTAAGCTCTGAACTGCGAGGAATGATGAGGTTTTTTTTTGAAATTAGGATTGCACAAACTGCTCAAAATTGTTGATTTTCACAAATGCCTTACATTATCTTAGTAAGAGAATTTAGATAATACATAACCATTCCGCGAAATTTTTAGGGAAATTTGAAATTCCGAATTTGACTCTCAAGACCCTGGATCGATAAATGTGTAGGTTCCTCTGGCGGGTTGGTGCCATTCCGTCAAATACGAAAATTCGAAAGGAACTTATATCCAATTGCAACTTCCTGAATCTGTCCCTTTTCTTACACTAGTAAAAATCCTAGTCACTCTCATATTGCTTCTCAGCGACAAGAGTGTTGAGAGTGTTTGGCCAACTCCATCACTTTTTTCCACGGCAACTGTCAGAGCGCTCGAGCCGAACGACGCTTCTTTGCACCTTCTTAGTTGTTCGTCTTTTGTTATTCCCATGTTTTTATGTGTGATGAGCCAATTTATGGCACCTTCCCACAACCACCTGTCTGGGTGTTTCGCACCCACGGCTTTCTGACATGCTCCGGGAAGTGCGTAATGCTCTACAGCGTTATTGGTGAGTTCATCAACTGCCTAACAGTAGTTCAACACTCTGATCTCCATGAACTCATCTTACCACTCTGATATTTAACAATATTATATGATTGAGTCCTAATAGCAATTATGCGAACCTGAATATTCTTCTGTCCCGGAGTCTCATGCTAAAATAAATGATTTGTGAAAAGATTTGGCAACTTGTTCGTAAAAAGTTGTCAAAACTGTTGTAAAAGTCTTCGCAATATTTTTTGGAGTCTCATATGCTTTTTTGTAGCTAAGTTAATTTTTGTAAATAATTTTTGTAATTAATTAATTTTGTAATTAATTAATTACGTATTTTTTTTGTAATTTTTTTTTGTAATTTTTTGTAAAAAAACGTATGAGACTCCAAAAAATATTGCGAAGACTTTTACAACAGTTTTGACAACTTTTTACGAACAAGTTGCCAAATCTTTCCACAAAAACTTTTACGACGCCTTAACAAACTTTTTTTGAGTCCTAACAATAATCACTCCGGAGTCTTGCATTGTTTTCCACACATTTGACACGTTGATGCCCGCGCATGTTTTAAGTTTTGCGGCCACGCGCGGGGCTCCAGTGAAATTTTTATGAATCTTATTTAGCGAATTTTCTTATTAGAGCAAATTTTGAAAGGAAACCTGCTGTTTGATTTGCAGGTGAACCTTCTCTAACGACAATAGAAAAAAGGAAAGTGAAGAAGTCTATTTGCCTCCTAAATGTGGGCTGAAGGTCCTGTACGGTCGACGGACTGTAGTCACATATGGGCTGCATGGCCTCTAAGGTGTTAAATAATTATTTTTTGGCGTTCGCGGCACGCATCCTGCCGAATCACTTGCCACGTAGCTCCCTAACTTCAATCACCGTTTGGTACCTAGCTGTGCTTACGGTATCATGTCAGGGGTGGAACAGGTGAATGCGATACCGCTGGGTACCACTCATATATTGGATCATGGATGAATCCACAACGTGTAATCCCATCCAGGCGGAGATCCATCCATTCGAAACTCAATAAATGGTAATATGTAGATTCGAATTAGTGGATGAAGTGCACATGAATTGACCTCTGGTCTTTATTGTATAGCTAAAGCACGCCATTCAAACAGTCCGCTGACGATTTTTATCTTTGATTGGAATGCTGGATCAAAACAAGCTTTTCATCGATGGATATCCGTTCAAGCTTGGCGAGAGATTGAACTCGTCAACCTGTGGTGTTGTTGATAACGTTTTGTGTGATACTGGCCCACATCCATCACTTGTAAAGCGAGAAACAAGTAAGCTGTCTGGAAGGTTCAACTTCATAAGGTAGTAATGGCATCTGCGGAGAAGTGACGTTGAGGCGCCTCAAGTTGCTTTGAACTGCTTCTAATGAGAGAAAATTAATCTCTAATATTTGAAATCGTTGCGGGGTTTGAGCTGTACGTACGGCGGTAAGTCCATTTTCTGCCAACTACGGTCCTCAGAGGTTCGTAAAAATTTACGGGCGGAATTTACAGCCTTCTGTCTGCAACCGTCGAACGTTCAGCGTAAAATCCAATAAATTTTAGTCTGCGATGGGAGTAATGAATCAAAGCCATTCCACGGTGATTTCCCATTGAAACACTGAAATCGTTCGGGGGATTCAGTGATTCCATCGACTTCCCCTTGTTATCTTTGCGGGTCAATGAAGTGATCAATGCCTCATATCAAACTGCCGCTATGATTGTCGTTTGGGAGTACGCCATGCTCTTAATCACCTAGAAGCAGTTATGCGAAGGCAGTGAGCATTTATGCAGGACGGGGAAGGATACTCGGAAGGAAGGGAGGCTAGGCTTTTCAGCGTTTCCTTTGGCGTATCAGCGTGCTTTTTCTTCTTGCGCTTTGAAGACAACTTACCGGATTACCTCCGGCGAAGAACTTCTTCGTTGGGTTGCTGTAGAACCTGAACTTAGCAGTTTCGCACTCCTATCCCTTGAATTTGTCCATAATACGATGATCAAATTTTAATGTGGAGAGGGCTGGCGATTAGCTTGGATTTATTTCTACATTGACTAATTCTTAAGATTTACAACACTGATTCAGCTCATTTTGTTCTGCGAAGCCTATGGACTGACGACTTTCGTGAAATGTGGTCCCTTTGATCCAGATTAATTGAGTTCTGGTTTGAGAATTGTTATTGAGCTTATAATGCTTTTCGAAATGAACAGAGAAGTGGAGATCTGTCAAAATCACTAGGTTTTAAATTTAAATTTATGACAGTGTGTCCAGGTTATGTTGTACTTCAGCACGTGCTCGTTGAGGTTTTTCCACCTTATCGCTCACTCAAGTTGCCTGGCTGACGTAGTTATTTTTTGACATTTCTGAGGTATCGTGTAGAAGAAAGAACATGAAGACATAAAGAGTTCAGTGGTAATTAAACTATTCGGAATGGCCACGCATCATACTTAGATCAGTCCCATGGAGCATCGTAAAGGGAATTTGAACGTCTTTTGAGTACATCAGTAATTTGCGGAGGCAATACTGTTTACGATTGAGTGCTCTTATCAAATCAGACATTATTACTGAAAATTACCAGCCAAAGAGGAAAAGGAAGGCCGTTGTACATGGCGAAACACCTTTAGCTCACTTCAGAATTTGAAAATTTTCAGCTGTAACCTGGACGATGACAAGCGACAAGCGATCATGCAATGGGTGGACACGTGCGAACCGTTACTGTCACCCGATGATGATGAAATGAACAATGATCGACCACGGGAGATTCTATCGCATCCACTGGAGGACATTATCGAGCAGGACGAGGAGTCTATGAGGGACTCTATAAGGTACGATGATTGTTGCGCGGATGCACCCCAAGCGTTAAAGAAATGTGAGAACACAAAAATCAAGACCAACCTCTCAGCCAGACATGGACTACCTTACCTTTTAGTGTCCCAAAAAATTGCATTTCAAGAAATTTGAAGCCCCATCTTTTTGATATACACTCATTGGCCCCATACCTGCGGGAAGAGAGCAATCTGTAGATCCCTTTCCAAGAACTTATCAACCTACGACAGAGCTTGCGCCATCGCACACATCCATGCTTTCCCTGTCAACCCTACTTCTTCCTTGAGTGGTAACCTTGATTTGAAATTAAAACCACAATAATTATGTCTCACTTACTTCAATAGCTTGCTCACTCTGTGACGGGAACCTGAACTTATTCTGCTTTCTCTTTCCAGATCGAAACACGACACGGATTCACATCCATTGAGCATTTTGAGCAGAGAAGATATTGAGAAGATCATGAGCACAGAAGGAACGCCACAAGTAAGATGATTCATTGTGATCGCCACAAAAGCATACTTTCAGCCTTCAGTTTCATTTGGGTCTTTTAAAAGTTTGAAGGTGAAAAAGCATTAGTAGCGGAAGAAAAAGGACTACCTTGTTACAGCTCCTTCGCTTTCTTTCACGAAATTCCTTTAGATGGGAATCAGTTGTCCGAACCATTCGGAAGAATCGGACAAGGATCTATATAACATCCAAAACATATGAGGTTTCTAGGCAGCTCGCCGAAAATCGTTGTCAGTAATACCAATCCTATATCATTTTTAACAGGCTCATTACATATACATACAATTACACAACAGTCAACACGCTAGTCAAGGCAGGTCCCATAAGAGTTACTCAACTTCCTTTGATTTCGGAAAATCCTGTCAAACTTTCGCGGACTGCTTTAGCACTGACAAATGGTCGATCGAAGATAGGAGGGATGCTCGAGGCGGTTCGGATTAGGCCCATTATAAGCTCATGAAGCAGCAAGTCCCTTTTTTGGCAGGGACCATGTTGCGAGCGATTTCCGGTGACACATTTATAGACATGCAAGAAAATTTCGCACAGCCAGGAAAACAAGGTTAGAAATTGTTCAATATTCGCGCATATTTGCCTCACGGACAATCTCTGAACGACAGCTACTGTATATATATCTAGCATTGATGTAGGCGTTATTCGCGCATTTTCCCGTCTTCTCGCCTCAGATTGTGGCCTACTTAAGGCTGGAAACTGTTGTCTATAAGAATGATTTCCTGCATCAGTCTTAATGCAATAGAAAAGTATTAGCTTAAGTTAGCATATGGCAATCATCATAGGTTCAGATAATTGCAGCGCCGCAACTACCATGACCACCACCCTCCGCATACACATTGAAAATGAAAAGTATTCTTGATTATTTTCTCCTCAACAACTAGTGGTATATAAAAGCTTCAACTGCAATATTTCGTTTCAAGTAGAGCTGTCCGAGCGGGAAAATTTTCTCTTATTTCTTTTGAAACCAAGCGAGCAATTAGTTTTCATAAAAGAAAGTTTTACAAAAAGAAATTTAGGAAGTGGGCTCCGACGAGGACGCGCTGGAACGAGCTATGGCTGCGTCGGTGTCATCGATACGGATCACATGATATTCTTGCAAAGCTCAACGACGACTTAGCTGCCGTGAGTGTTTTCAAGACAGTAAAATGGGCACTAAAATGAGCTACGACAGTAATGTTGTGTTGAAATGGACTCTACAAAAATTGTTCTCCCTCAGTGCTGTAGAATACATTTTCTAAAGCACTGAGGGAGAACAATTTTGCCAGGTTGGTTTCCATTCAAAGGGACGTGGGAAGCAAAATTTAAACAACTCTTGTTCTCCTCCCACCTCCAAGTTTTTATTTTTGTTGTCCAAGTCTAACTATCTCACTTTTCAAAGAAGGGTAGGAATTCCGGAAAGACGCCACGCCTCTATGTTTAGACAGCCTTTTTCTGTTTTGAAGCTCTATTTCGTTTTGAAACAAGGCACGGTTGATTGGCCTTAGGTCGGCATTGCCGGAGTATTCGATCCCCATTTGAATAAACAATCTCCAAACAGATCGCAACATGATCTCCTGAATAGGTAATGAACTAATAAGCAACGCAGGTAGACGTGACGAGTGTCTACATGTGTGAGCGGATTAATGTGAATAGGGAGCAAGATTAAAGAAATTTCGAAGCAAAATGTAATTCATAAGATATATCCATTTTTCCAAGATTTCGGTTGCATGCTTGCTGCGGAAGATCATCATGAACTTTATTTTGTGGATGTTTTCGCATGAAGATCTGTTCAAGTATCTTACAGTCAGTACAGTACTCCCACCAAATTCAAGCATTTTTGGAACCATGCCACTTCCTTTGACTAACTGCCTATCGTTGCTTTCAGACGCAGGTTGGTTGATTACCATTTCTGTCGACCAGTGACATATTCTATAATGCTCCCTTTTCTGGAAAGAAGTAGATTGGGCTGAACGGTTGAGAGCAGCTCTTCATTTGGAAAGCTTTCTACAGGTTGAGCGGGGGTAGAGAGCGCACAAAAGTCACTTGGCCCATGGCGCACATCAACAAAGATCTCATCGCACATGGTGCCATTGTTGATGGGTGCTTTACGGTTTGATTTTCCTTAGATGGATCCTTAGATGCTCCATTAGCAGGAGTAGGCCCTCCTTCACTGTCATCACGAATTTTGAGTATGACGTTATATGTCAGCGCTGTCGAGGTTGAGGGGACCTACAGTAATGGCTTTAGCTTGAAACTGCCATGTAAACTTAATCGGTCGACTGGTGGAATAGCTTTCCAGAGCCGTAAGCTTGGACTGCATACCTTGTTTCCAGGGGGAAACCTTTTTTATGCCGCCTGGGGGTAGAGGTGTCACTAAGTTTTCTTAATAGGATATGGTATGTGCTCTTTATGACGCTGTTGTTGGGTGCATTCAGTTCAATCTAGCAAAGTATAATTTACTACTTTCCAAAAAATGGAGGTACAGTGTCTCTTTTACTTCAACCTCTCCCCCTCCTACGTCAGTATTTAGCGCACACAGCAGCGGGAGCATGTTGTCAGTTTATGTACCTGTGGGGAGAAAACGTGACAGTGCTGGTTAGAGAAATCACTTTTGACTTCCGCGTCTTGCATGTTCCCTTTAGCAAGCGACTCGATCAGACTTGAATATAGCTTTGTCATGAGCTCTGTATTGTGGGCGGAAGGTCTCCATTAATGGGGCTTTGAAAACATCGGTGACAATAATTGAACGAATTTAGTTCTTCAGGCCTACCTTAAAATCCTCTTGTTCGGGAACTAGCTTTGGCGAGGTCGTTCGAAAAGCCTGCCCCTAAAGACGGTCATTTGTGAGAGAAATGTGGAAGACAATTCGGTGTCGCTGCTTCCATTTTCTTTATGTGTCTGCCATGAAGAATATTTCTTGATTCTGGAGCAGAAAATAATCGCAAGGCTTGGAAATTTATAGATGTGGCATAGAGACACTACCTGACAGATTCATTTACAATTCCGAAGGTTTTGTTACATGGATGGGTAATGTGGTATGTTGGTATCGCGGCAGTTGTGTCACGTCACTCAAACTTGTCACCGTCAAAAGTAAAAGTTCTCGAAAAATAATGATACCGTCGATATCACAATTCAATAGATTTACTTATATCATATCTCTAACAATTCATGAATTTTTCACAGTCAGTTCCGATCAATAATCCATTGATTCGTTTCTAGAAGGAAGCATCGCTGACGGCTACAGCTACCTCAACGGCAACACCAAGTGAGATGGACTTGTATCGCCGTGCCAGTCATCTCGAGAATTACGCAGTAGAGAAACTTAAGGTATGCTCATTTGCTCTGATTGAATTTGATTAATCTTACTGGAATTAATCTTACATGGATCGATTAATCTTACTGGATCCTACTCATCACATATTTAATTTGGTCCGAAATCACAAAATCCCTATCCACAAAAAAATACTCGGATTTCTTCGAGATATGATGAAAACTGCGCACTAAGACATATAGCTAAATATCTCATCCTTCTAGTATTCATGTTTTTGGATAGCACATTCAAGTCTGCAGGATGCGCATGTGAAGCAAAAATTTCAATGATTTTTTGCTATGATGGTTTGTGTTTTGCGGCCGACAAGCTATCAATCAGAAAAAGCATTTCGCGGATCTGTCAAACGCATGAGGCCACGAGCTGATTTCTCTACCTCTTCCACCTAATCAATGATGAACGTTGTTTAACATTTCTCATTCGCAAAACAGTCCGCCGTCAAGCATCAAGCGGGCAGGTGTTGAGGATGCAGCACCAGTTACTGCCAGCTGCTCTGCCCTCACACATTGTGAGAATCCATAGCTAGATTTTTGAGAGTAATTTTCGAGTCTCTGCTCTTAAACGTTATACAACCAACGGTCTTTCATCTTGTCTTGTGTCCCCAAGGGCCATTGAATACAATATGTTGTGCTAATATAATTTTCTACAAGCATTTTTTTGGATGGTTCATTATTGTTTTCATAGGAATTGGACGACGACAAGATGAAGAAGAGAACGAAGCAAGCTGATCTTGAACTGTTGTCAAAATTCGATGATGTCGTCGGGGAGTACGGTAGTCGACTGGAACGCCATCGAAAGCCGGAGGTAAGAAATTTCGTCGCCACTGTTTCGTGTGATGGGGTCTATGCTGACCGAGTTTCTTACGCCGCGATTTTTTTTCTTATAGTTTTTTGACTTGTTTTGTTTGTTAACTGCTGTTTTAACGCCGCAGTTCGCGTTGCGAATGTTTCACAAGAATGCTGGGTTGTGAACAAAACTTTCGCCCCAGGCGGGACTAGAACCCGCACCTCCCGCCTGGGGCGAAAGTTTTGTTCACAACCCAGCATTCTTGTGAAAACCGTTTTTTGCATCGTTTTTCAAAATCGCGTTTTGAGCCTCCTATTTCATGGTGATATAAAATTACTAGTATTTTGCTGCTCCTGTTTGATTCGAGTTCTGCTGGAACAAGACTGAATCGAACCTATAATTGGTGTGTCTTTATAGGAATTGCCGAGAAGGAGAAGGAAGAGCTAGAAAAGAGGAAGAATGAGTTACGAAAGAGACGAGAAGAGCTGAAGCATGAAGCAGACGAGATACGAAGGGAGAAAGAACAGATCGATAAGGTTCGCATCTATTTTTGTGCGCTGCATTGATATCCTATATTTTGTTGACACTTCAGGAACTCAATGGCCGTTCACTGCCGCTGGCGATCGCTCGTCAGATCACTCAACAGCTGCATGGATTAACATTGGGATCAAAGCCGAGGTGATTTAGCCTCATTTGGCCGCTAATAAGGCCAAATAAGATGTTGTTAATTGTTTCAGTCAAAAGACCAGCCGTGCGCCATCGGATTCACTGCCTACCACGCCCACCATTCATAAGAAGCAACTCGGTGCACCACCTGCGAGGTCAGTAACGTCATGTTGAGATTTTGCTCATGTTTTTCTACTCGTTCCATCACAAAATCATAGGATTTCGTTTTCAGAACCCCGTCGTTGACAAACTGCGCTGCACCGTCATTGCCGTCACCGTCTCATCATGCTAAAAATGGAATTATCAAGGCGCACTGGGTCGATGGGACACATGTTAGGCGATGCAGGTAACTTTATAGTTGCTTCATCAAACATAAGAGCATGTTTCACCCTGAGCATGTGGGCAGAGCAACTCGACAGTGCTTCCTTTGCGCTTGTCGGTGTCGGTCCATCCTTCTCAAATGATAGTGAGAAAGAGCATACCAGTGAAAAAACCCACTGTTTAAATGATTCTCCCCGTACTATCATGTTGAAATGTGCCTTTGAACCCTTTTAACTCTCTCACCAGTGTTTATTTATCTTTTACTGCGGTTAACCCAGAGAGACGTCACATCGGACTGAGAAAATCTTATTTGGCAATCAATTCAATCGCTTGGCTTAGTTTTACATTGAATTCTACAATTTTTTTCCAGTAAGCCTCGTACGGATCGGCGTGAACGTAAGGTGTCTGAGGAAGGTAGGAGAGAGAAGACCGCGATCCCATCTCCATACTCCAAGGTACAAATTTTTTCTACCACGGGAAATCAATATATCGATTTTCTCGAGCTTTCAGTCGAGCTTTCAAAAAGGCGTTCTGAGGAGAAATGCTCCTATAATATGTATACATTAGTTGAATTTGGTTTTTATGGTGCTAGCGGTAATGTTGCGGCGATAATAGAAAGTAGCGAGAAAATTATGGGAAAGATATTAGTTGAAGGACATTCAGTAGCGTATTCAGTAGTAGCATCGGCGTCCAAAGCTGAGCTCTCAAAAATTTCGAATCAAAAGCCTTTCCTGTGAATGAATAAGTGCTTTCCGTGGCTGCAATTATTCATTCGGAAGCCATAGTACCTGGTAGGAAATCTTTGTCAACAATTGGCTTTTCCCGCACGACCATCAGGTGGTTGCGCAGTTTGATTCGGTTCTTCTGGACTAATCGACTCTTGCGGAATGACGTCCAGGCGTAATCAAATTTTCACGAGCCATTACATTATTGGCCCAACTGGAATTAAGCTCTGGATTAGCCAAGATGGGAGATGAGGGTGTTCAACGGGGAAGGACTGGAGGAGTTTTGAGGTTTTCAACCTTGTAAGGACGTTTAGCGTAAGGGACGACAGTCGTATCTACGACAATCGGTAGAAGCTTTGAAATTGAACCACCCTTGCGTATATAAGGTCTTACATTTTCGGCTTTATTACAGCTTTCAAATTATAAAAATAGGGTGTTCAGACGGAATTTCTTCCTTGGTTGGAGAAATACGTTCGGTGAATAGTTCCAAATTACTCAGTTCATTGCTTTAGGTCACAGATCCGCGGCTGGTTGACGGTCCACCAAGCAGCGGCCGTGGTTCCGACGATGCGGCGTCGCAGTGTCGCGAAAAGAAACGTCAAAGCTACTCGGCTTCCTCCGGCTACGAGTCCGCTGCTGGCGACTACCACTCGGCATACTGTAAGTTACAGTTAGTCCCACTGTCTCTGACCATGAGCAGAGTTTGCATGACTGCTGAAATGCTACTGGTCTCTAAGGCTTTACCTTTCAGATCTGTGTAAAGATTCTCGATTTGATCAGCGAAAAGCCGTCGACAAGGTATGTCCATGTCCCATCATTTGTTTTCTCATTAACCTGACAATAAAGATTGGCTTGAAAACGATATGTTCAGAGGCTTGGCCTAGGCCGAGAGGCAGATACCCTCCGTGAGCAACAAAGGCGGCTAAAAAAGGAGCTCCAAGAAGCGAAAGCTGTTATAGGGCAGATTGATGACGCCAGGTAGGATTCAGGAACACGAAACCGAAGAGATATCTTCAAAGCTATAAGTCACTTCAGGGCCATTTGTCACGACACCAAGACGACGGGCATTAGTCAGGCGACACTGGTAGACACCCTGAGGCAGGTAAGAGGCAACACATCACTGGATAGTTTGTTAAAATTCATTGATAACTATGTGAGACCATCGATAAGGCAGAGCGTGAGGTGCTCGCCTGCCTCATTGCTGTTTTCGCACTGAGCAATTCTCTATTTAGACGGTGTGAGCTGCGAGCTTGTGAAAAAAATCGTACGGTAGGGCGCTAAAAGTTTTGTGGTGGTTGGTGAGCTTTGACGGCTAGTAGCGGGTCGCACCGTCGTCGGCTGAATTCGTTGAAGTGGTGGGTAAATTGTTCTCTGTTTTTAGGAGAACCGAATCCTCGAGAAACGACTTATTGCGTGCCGAAATCATACGATGTTTGTGACAACATTCCTGTGATAATCGATATCCCGTTGTTGTGTGTTATGGAATATAGATATAAATTTATTTACAATTGTTTCGATATTTTATTGTTCTAGTTCTGATGAACAAATTGTATGTATAACAGTTTATGTGCTAAAACACCGATGGCAATCTGCAGTTGAACATGTACGTGATGAAGTGGCACCAGGTGCCAGTTGTGAATCCTCCATAGCCTTCATTCCTCGCGTAGTAACTTGCTCTGGTCAAGCTTTAGTTTACTCCGTCAAATTTGAAGCCGATTAATCTGCAGGATGAACCATGGAAACAACGTGTTGTTCCGTATAGTGTGCATCAGATACACGGTCGGTTTCTCTGAGGTCCTAACTGGAAGTTGGCACATGGCTCACCTCTGAAGATTATTTGGGATGCGTTTAATTCTTCCCCGCCGGCTCTTGCACGCATGCTGAGCG